CTCCTAAAACAAACTAGAAACCCCACAATGCAAACCACAACATTTGCGAAAGCACAATAGAAACCTCATAATGCAAACCACAAACACAGTAAAACAAACCACAAAAAAACAAACCAAAAACGTCCTAATGCAGACCACAAATATACTAAAACAAACCAGAAACCTCACAATGCAAACCACAAAATTTTTGAAAACAAACCAGAAACTTCTCAATGCAAACCACAAACACGATAAAGCAAACCACAAAAGGCATACAAAAATATGAGAAACCAAACCATAAATCTCACAATGCAGACCATTATATCCGGTGGTCGTTGGCCGTTGACCGGTCAGCGAAGACCGTTGACCAAACTCCGATGACCGTCAGTTAGGGCTGGCTATTTGGACCGGGACCGGATGAAAAACCGGAAACCGGACCGTATAACCCGGACCGAGACCGGACCGGGACCGGATAGTAAACAATCCAATCCAATCTTTGGGCTTAGATTTGAGGTAAAAAACCGGATAAAGACCGGATAAAAGAGCTCAACACCCAAAACTTAAGAGTAATTTGCATAAACGGTCACAAACCTTTGCACTTAGTACAAAACTTAACCAACTCCTCACCCTTTTAGGCCTTAGGCCACTCAAATTTCCACAATCTCAATATAAAATCAAGACCGAATTGGGACCGGACCGGGTCAAGACCGGACCGGATCAAGACCGGACTGTATCCAATCCAATCTTCGGTCCTTATATTTTCAAAAAAACCGGACTGGACCGGATCAATTTGGGCCAATTTAACCGGACCGGACCGTATAGCCACCCCTACCGTCAGTTACCAGATTCCGGCGCCGATAAGCATATTCCGGCCCCGATGACTAGATTCCGACGCCGGTAAGCATATTCCGACCACGGTGAGCATATTCCGGCGACAGTGGCATATTCCGATGACAAAATAGCATATTCCGGCGACGAAAAGCATATTCCGGTGACCGGCGACCATTTTCCGGCAACCGGTGACAGAATTCTGGCGACCAAAATTTTGGGCCGAAAAAATAAAACATTTTTTTTTATTTTTTTTTATTATTTAAACATATTTTTCATAATGACAATTATATCCCTGCTTTGATTTTACACTAGGTCAACTCATCTTATAAAAAGTAATCACAACCCTAGCTTCCTATTGGTTGGAGACTAGTGTTGTTACAATAACAACACAAGGAGTGTTGTTATAGTATCTAGTCCCATATTGGAATGCCAACCCCTATCCTCTTCCAAGACAAGATGGGGTTTCTAAGATAAACGTCCACAGCTAGAACACTTTGAGATAAGACGAACAAGAAATGGGCTGGAAGAAAGAGAGTATGCTTGAGCCTTGGATTGGAGCTTAAGCCCGGGAAACCATCTGTCAAAAATTTCTCGGGCAAATGAATATTGGAAACATAGGCGTAGCGAGATCCATATGCGTGTCTTATAGATTTATACGCACTGATTGATCTAGAAATTACGTTATAAAGGTATTCAACGATAAAACAAAATCACTAAGGGTTGCCAAATAGTCTCTAGTTCAAATACTATCATTACTAAAATAAAAAAATTTACAAAGAATTTGTGTTCCAAAATTAGAACAAGGTGTGTCAATTGACAAACCTTTCATACATGTAGGGCCGCCCCTGCTTATACGATATATTTAGTTTTGTACAATAATATAATTAATCATATATATGGCAAAAATATATATAGATGGTTTTATCGTAAATCAGACAAAAACTAGTGCATATCGTACAACATAAATATGGATCGTTGAAATCATGTTTAGTTATGTTATAATCGGTTGTTGTGGCAACAAAAGTTGGCAAAAATACATGAATTAGATATTAATAGTAAAACAACTTGAAATAACTTGATATTAATAGTGAAACAACTTGAAATAACTTCCTTTATGTTTTCAATAGATGTTTCTTGCGGATTGTATCAATTGTTGTAATCATTCAAACGAGCGCATATGATCAAATTTCACTAAAACCTACTTTCTATATATTTTTTCTTCTTCATTTTTGCATAACTCATCCCCGATTTCTTATTGCAAATATAATTTTCATATCTTTTTCTTTCTCAATCTCCTTATAACTCGCTATGCTACACACTATCTCTCCTAATACTTAATGGAGTCCAATAAAGTAACTAAACACATAAAATTATCAACTTTCATGATTTCTCAGGATGACCAACTAAACATATTTCTGATTTTCATTTTCATGATGTTGTAGTTTTACCTCTATGATCATAACAATACTGCAACCATAACAACAAACTAAAACTATACTAAACTTGAACTTAGAGATATAAACACAAATTTCTAATTAATTATACTGGCGTTTTTAGATAAATCTCTGGTATGTCTGGTGTTTCTAAATGATTCCAAAGGTGAGTATATTTGGTACAAACACCAAATTCTAATGATCGTTTAGTTTTGGCTTGGCTATCAACTCTATGACTGCTCAAGACTCCTGGGACCCGTTGCCATTCATGTTTAGTTGCGCGCTGAAACCAAATTTTGCAACGCAACGTCTGCCTGCTTGGACATTGGAAATCTTTACCGGCTATTCCAAGGAGCTGGCTGGCTCCCTGGTTGATCGATTTTGTGCCTTTTCTTGTCTTTAGGTTTATTATTCTACTTCCCAAATCTACGAAGCCATAATTTGCATGCATAATTTCTTATCAACTTATTCAGGTGAGGGGTGTCATTTTTACATAATATCAAAATTTAAATAAGTATTTAAACTTTAAAGTATGCTACTAGTTTTTTTCAATATTCAGGTAATTCAATTCTACGAAAACTAATATCTGAGTAATACAAGTTTCATTAATACATAACTGTATTTTATATTCTAAACGAAGCATAAAATACATTTACTTTTTGGGTCTAGCGTTAGTTCCTCATATACAATTACTGAGGATGAATAATATCTCTCCAAAAAATTTAGTATGCTTTGTAATACACTTAAAAGGTATCCGTACAACTATGAGTTTTTGTTACAAAATTATACATCAATATTCAATATTTCTCAACTCATTATTTGTGATAGATCGATCAAAAAATTGTCAACTGAAATTCATCCTCTGACTCTAAATCTACTTTTAAGTAGATTATATATAGATTGGTTACGAATAATTCTGTAGTTTGTATTCAAACCCCCTCTATTTTATGTAAAAGTAATCCACGAGTCGAGGTGATTTGTTCAGATCAATCTGGTCTCACTGTGATTAAACGTTGAACCATCCAAATAATCTTATAGATTATTCTGTGTAATAAATCATAAAGAAATACTATTTCCACCAATATTATTTTCTGTATTTTGCTAACGATGAAGCAATTCATAAATACATATGGGAAAAAAAATTAAAATCGATGGTACACACATCCCATGGATGTACAAAGGAGTGGCGTCTTGAAGAGATCAACAGAAACAAAAGAAACGACACAAAAAGAAGGCGTCAGTGGTGGGCAAGCAAAACTGTATTATTATTATCTTAATTGACCTCTTGTTTTAACTTAATTAATACCGAAAACAATTTTCTAAATAAAGTAATTATTTACAACTTTAGAACTCCCCCTCCTCTTTCCTATTCCATTCCCATTTTCTCTACTCTACTATAAAAGCAATTTTGATCTCGATCATCATTCAAACACAAACTTTCACTGCCTACGAGCCCAGGCAAAAATATAGTCTCTATCCGATCATCTTGATCAACATGTGGGCTCGTCGTTTTATCATCAACGGGTCGCTGGCGGCCTTATCCTTGTCACTAATTATCAACATTCCGGCCGGCGATGCCTACAATTTCTCAGTCGCCAACAACGCCCCGGTGAGCACCCCGGGAGGTTCCCGCTACGCCAAGGAAATCGGCGGCAAAAACTACAGCTTGGTCGCAATGTCGAAAGCCGCGGATTGCGTATTGAGCGTGTTTGGTCTGCTGGGTGAACTGAAGCCAGTCCAGAATATCAGCTTGATCATCGAGGAAGACATTACTACAACAGCAACAGGCGTCCATAACCAAACTTGGGCCTACGTTAGCAACGCCAGCAACATCCACGTCAGCGCAAGGTATACACAGACAAAACTTGTACTAGTCCTTTTTTTTTTACGGTCACTAAAACACCAAACTCGTCACTAATGCGCTACTTTAATTTGTGGGCAGGTACCTCGGCGGGTACAAGGGCGCCGACGTGAAGAAGGAATTCACGGGCATCATTTACCACAGCATGGCGCGGGTGTTGCCGTGGGACGGCAAGGGTCAGGCTCCCGTCGGGCTGCTGACGGGGCTGGCCTCTTTCGTGAGGACGTACGCCGATCTGGCGCCGGCGGAGAGCACGGTGCAGTTCGGCGACGGGGACAGGTGGGATCAAGGTTACGAGGTGACGGCCAACTTCTTGATCTACTGCGAATCGTTGCGCGAAAAGTTCGTCCCCGAGCTGAATCTGAAGATGAAAGACGGGTACAGCAACGACTTCTTTTACCATTTGATCGGGAAGACGGTTGACCAGCTTTGGAAGGTTTATAAGACCGAGTTTGGACAATCATATTAACACACCATGACAGCAGAATGATTATGTGTTCGAATTTTGACGATGTTCGCTTCATTTCGCGCTCTCCATTTTTGGATATCGAAGTTGTAACCTTTTTTATCTCTTGATTAAAAATGGTTGTTAATCCATTGATGTTACACCTTTTGTGACACTCTGTCATAAATGTACTAAGTTTCTAGATGATTTGTTTGAATTGTATCACCCCATGTTTTGTTCGTATCCACGTGGATTGTACTGCTTTGGCCGGCCGCCGGCCGCCGGCAGCATATATGTGGATTTTTTTTTCTGTGCATAAGTATTGTTGACGGCGGAGCTCACAAAGACCGAACCACCTATGCCAGCGATCAGAATATCAAATAGACCTCGAAAAACCATCAGTCATATTTTTCATCATCAAAGCAACCCTTCCTCCAATCACTTCAAAACAATGGCAGCCATTTCTGGATCCATTGAATTATACAGGGTCTCCGATTCCACGGGCAACAATGGCTTCTCCAACCAAATCGGGATGGATCTCATCAAGAAAACGCTAGCAGACGCAACTGACTTCACCTGGAAGGCACTGCAGCTGAACACCCCTGCAGAAAGAAAAACCATACCAACAATCAGCTTGTTCATAGAAAACTCAGACGGCGTGGCATACGCCGACAATGACGAAATCCACTTCAACGCGGGCTATTTGGAGAGGTACTCCAGCGACGACGACGAAGCCAGAAGGGAATTCGTCGGCGTGATCTACCACGAGATGGTGCACGTTTGGCAGTGGAACGGCGGCGGAAGGACGCCGGAAGGTTTGATCGAAGGAGTGGCTGATTACGTGAGGCTGAAGGCAGGGTATGGGCCAAGTCACTGGGTAAAGGCAGGGGAAGGGCAGAGGTGGGATGAAGGGTATGCCGTCACGGCTCGATTCCTGGATTACTGCGACGATCTGAGAGAAGGGTTTGTTGCGGAGCTGAACAAGAAAATGAGGAGCCATTATGATGAAGGATTCTTCTTTGATCTTCTGGGGAAGACGGTTGATCAGCTTTGGAGTGATTACAAGGCCAAGTATCAAGTATGACAAATGAAAACAGAGCATCCCCTGTTTTTCTTCTCTTTGTTTAGAATGTATCAAATCAAAGTGTGAACTTCAACTTGTTACACTTCTTCTTTATCAATAAAAACGAACCAGAAGCTTTGCAATCCATCAGTAGGTAGACACACTGGATGTGATCCATCAGTTCGTTCATTGGCCAGAGAAATTTCCATAAGTGGACTTGTAATCACTCCAAAGCTGGGCAATGCTCTTTCCAGTCAGCTCCTGGAACAAGCCGTCGTTATATCCATACTTCATCTTCTTATTCAGCTTAGCCACGAACCTCCTGTGCTGAAGTTCGCAGTAAATCAAGAAACCAGTTGTAACGTCGTACCCTTGGTCCCACTTGTCTCCCTTCCCAAAATTCACCCAGTTATCCCCCGGATAGTGGGCTCTCACCCTCACGAAATCCGCGATCCCAGTCAGCAACCAGGTGGGAGCCTGGCCATTGCCGTTCCACTGCAACACCAGCGTCATGCAATGGTAAATCAAGCCGGAAAATTCCTTCTTCACGTCCCTTCCCTTGTAGCTGCCAATGTAGCTGTCAGACACGACGATCGATCAAGGTCAGGCAGATGTAAGATTATATGATACCGATTAGAGTCGATTAAAACAGACAGTGCCTACCTCCCGCTTATGTGGATGTTGCTGATGTCGCTGACGTATGCCCATCTCCCTTGACCAAGGTCTTCCTCAATGGTTAAGCTAATGTCCTTGACAGGCTTGCCACCATCGTGCACGCCCAGCACATGCAATACGGTACTTGCACTGTGCGCCATGACAATCTTGCTGTACCTTTCACCGATCTCTATGGCGTAACGTAAACCTCCAATCGTGGTTACTGGGGCCTTGTTGGTGACCGAGAAGTTGTAGGCATCGCAGGTAGTCGGGATGGTAACGATTAGCAACAATGATAAGGGCAGCAGCAGCCAACTATGGTGGTGATTTGGTGTCAACATTATGAAGGTCTGAGAAAGTATAACTGTGTTGGGTATGGCTCCTAATGATCAACTACTTTTATGATAGTCAAATAGAGCCGTGTAGTGAAGGAGTCGAAATGGAATTAGTGTTCTTAGTTTGTATTTAGTATGAAGAGACGTAGGAATCACTATTAGATTTCTCTGTCAAATGAAATCACAAGAGGTCAAAACTCAAAATCATCGTAGTTGAACATTAGAAAAAACTACCATCTGAATTTGGATTTCAGATTTGGACAAAAGTAGGATCAGCATAACCACACAAGATCGAGTTTGGAACAGAATAAAAGGCAAGGCATGCGCCGAGTCACTGGCTGGAGAGGCAGGGGAGGGGCAGAGATGGGGATCCAGGGTATCAACTTTGATCTCACGGCTCGATTTCTGAATTGCTGTAACGATATTAGAGACAGGAATTGTTGCTGAGCAGTTGTGATGAGGGAATTTGTTCGTTGGTCTTCGTCTTCTGGGGAAGACACTCGGAACGATTTGGAAATGACAAATGAAACAGAGCATCTCTAGATTCTCTTTATTATTAAATGTATCAAATGCGTGAGCTTTAGCTTGGTATGCTACCAAGAGAATAACACGGACCAGAACATTACTATCCAGCGATATAATCAACCGAGTAAGAACAAGCAACAAGTATATAATGATCAAACCAACCACGTAACATATAGGATGTGGTTTTCCTTCAGCTACTATATAGTTGACTAGAACTGTCAATTAAGAGTGACATCCTTTGACTGTAAGCATGCTTGGAAAGGCCATCGGACGTAGTAGATGTTGCAGTTTAAGCTTGAAATACCTCATTATTGCGACTGCTGAATGGCCAACACAACTTCAGCGATGGACTGGAACTTGCGCCTTCCCTTGAGGAGGGATTTCGCGAACTCAAGAGCTTGCCTCTCGCATTTGGCTCGCCTGCTTTGGTCTTCGATGGATTCTAAATCCTCGACGTGAGCCACGCCAACAATCCTCCTGCGAACAGAAAATGAATAAGCGATCCTGTCACAGTATTTCGTTTTGTATCGATATCCTAAAGCGAAGTCCAGATCATAGGAACCCTATCATGTGAAGTACCATAAGATAAGTCCCAGGAAGCATGGATAAATGGAGGCAATTTCAGGACAGGGTTAGAGAAAATGAAGTAACAATAAATCCAGCTCACCTTATCATTTTGGCAGCACCAAAACCAAGGCTGTCATGGAGCAAATCTATCAAGAATTTCTTTTGCACTAGCTGCTGAACTTCGGAATTGTTGTAAATCTCTGGAAGATATGCTTCTCCTTCACCGTCCTTGTGCTTATTCCAAAGTGAGGTGAATTTCTTCTCAAACAGGCTCCAAGTGTCGTCAATTGTCTTCAAAAGCCATTCTTTATACGCCTAAAAGAAATTAGTTCACAAACATAAGCAAGGATACTGCTAGTCACGATTACTTAAAATAGCATGAAAGAGACAAGATACAGAAATCAGATTCTCGGATTAGAAGTGAACTTTTTTATCTTCAAAAATTAGATAAAAGAGCTTTCAATCATTTAAATTAGAGGACTATGACTATGAAGAACAAGATAAACATGAATTATACAGAACAGAGGAAAGCAGTTGCATCCCCAGAACAGAGCGGTTCTAGAAGCAGCAAGGAACAAAATATTACAAGGGGAAACACATAACTAATCGAACTTACTTTGCGGTCATTCGAAGCATCAGCATGCCCATCTTGAGCATAGTACGCCAGAATCAAGTTTCCGATGAATGCTCCAATGTCGTAGCCCATCGGACCATAAAATCCAAATTCTGGATCTATTACCTGAGTGGACTCAGGTGTAACCATGAGAGAACCAGTGTGTAGATCACCATGGAGTAATGCTTGTGACCTTTCACAGAACCTAAATAGAAAATCAAATCTCTTCAGAAAACCCAGCCACAAAGACTACTATGCACAACAAATCATACACAGTCAGCCGAGCCAATAAGGTGAATAAACAACTTACTTTGCTTTCAACTCAGCAACTTCAATCTTCAATTCATTATCCTCACGAACAGCCACCACATCTTGATCAAGGTAAGGTGAATTCCACTTGTTATAATGAGAGACCTTATAAGGATCAGAAAAGACAACCTGCTCGGTGAGCCTGCACATCTCCACATTCCCGCAAAATTCAGCAACTGCAGATTTCAGTTTTGAGTAAAACCAAATCAGCAACATTATCGTCCAGATAAATAATCTACATAGAGCAAGACGGAGAGCTTACCAGCTCGCTTATGCTCGGTGGTTGTGTTATATAGAAGGGAAGTGTAGTAGAGAGTCTTAGCCATGTAATCCGAAACGTGCTCAGCTAGCAATGGGTACTTGATTCCTGCTATCAACCCCTTTCTCAGGATTATATGTGGAGGCTCCAAGTATTTCATCCCTATCAAAGACATTGTACGGTCGAAATGATAGAGTTCAGGAACATGTTCAGGACATAGTCGGCTGTGCTCTTTAAGAACAGTTGCTTCGAAATATGCCCTTTCCTTAGTCATTGGCCACGACTCTCCAATACAGCGCACATATGGAAGCGCCTAAAGCCAAAAAGATCGCATAGAGCAAAAACCCTTATTTCCAGTGAACAGTGGAGTTCTAATCATAGAGCAGAGAAAAGTATCAAAGATCGATACTTTTGCAGATGTATTACAAAACCCAATTACTCAAGACCAAAGACAACACACCTGCTTGATTACTAATGACCCAGCTGGGGAAACGACGATGTAGACAAAATTGAGATTGCCATCTCCAACTTCTTGAATCTTCATCTCATCAACGTTGGTTCCAATCTTCTCCGACAAAGCTGGTGTTGCCCTGATGTAGTCGAACAGCGATTTCTCGTCGAGCGGTCTGAACTCAGAGAAAGCCATTTTCTTTGTACTTTAGAAGGGCGGCGGGGGATTGCGAGGTGGCGGTCAGGGCAAATCCTGGGGGTTGTGTGTTTGAGGGAAGGGAGGGTTGGGAGTTGGGACTTGAGAGTTAAAAAGAAGAGGGAAGGCAGGGAGAAGCGTGCGGAAGAGAAGAGTCAAGAGGTGGGTGAAGAAAATGGAAGGACTAAAGTTGGAGGAATTGACCGCAGATTCGTGGGAATAAAAGTGGCGTTGGTTCAATGAACCTGGTCGGCCATTTTTATGGGTTTAATAACCTGGGATTATCTTGACTGTGGACCAGAGGACCGATGCGACTGTGACAATGTGCTAATTACGCTCGATGGACAAACAAATTCAGTTAAATTAATACATTACCAAATGCAAAAGCTTCTAGAATTAGTGGATTACAGATTTGATTGTCAATTACGAGCTTTGATGTCTTGAGGCATGGGACATCCATGCTTTCCAATTCCATATGTTAATTCAAAGGGGAGAAGAAAGTTCATACCTCTGTTTCATGCCTCTGTTAGGAAATTATTTCCTAATAATGTTATAGGCCACATATTTTTCAAGAGGCATTTTAGTGTGCTTTATAGTATTGGTACTATAAAACATTTACAGCCATTAGATCATGTCCAAACTATATCAACCATTAGATTTCATTTAAATTATTAATTTATTATTTTATTTGTGTGTTGATGACCGGTACAACCGGTTGTCTGAAACCAATTACACTCTTCTTCCTTCGAAACCAATTACACTCTTCTTCTCACCGCCGAAACCCCTCTTCCTTCGATCCTCTTCCTTCCTTCCTTCGATCATCTCCACGCAGCTAGCGAGCAGTGAAGACGGCGACAGTGAAGACGGCGAGCAGTGGGTGACGACGAGTGAAGACGGCGAGCAGTGGGTGACGACGAGTAGAAGGCGGCAGTGAAGGCGGCGATTCGGATTCCGGATTCCGACGACGACAGTGAAGGCGGCGAGCAAGGGACGACGAGAGCGAGCATCTCTTCGTCGATTGCAAACGAAGACCCTCTTCCCATCGATAGCTAACGAAGACTGTGCACAAAACCCCTCTTCCCATCGATAGCAAACGAAGACCGCTGACCTACCTCCTCCACCGCAACTTTTTTCGGTTAGTACTATCTTCTTTGTGTTTAGCTTGATAATTAGCTGCAATGGCGGTTCCTGTTGTTCCTTCACTTGTTTTGAAGGAGAATTTGCAGCATTTACCTTCTCTTCACCTTGTTTTTGCTGTTGAGGTTGTGCTTGATTTGTCTCCGTTTCAGCAACATCCTTAGCAGGCTCTTGTTGTTGTTGTTGTTGTTGTTGTTGTTGTTGTTGTTGTTGTTGTTGTTGTTGTTGTTGTTGTTGTTGTTGTTGTTCCTCAATCTTCTTCTGTTGAGGAGGAGCATTGGGTTCTTCTGTTGTTAGGGGAGAGTTCGAGTCTGAAGAATTCACAGCAGTTGTGGTTGTTGTTGTTGTGGTTGCGGTTGTGGTTGTTGATGATGCTTCCTTTGGTGAGGAAGCTTTGGATGGCTGTTGTTGTTGTAGTTCTTCCATCTTCTTCGTGGGAGGATTCGAATCGGACGAATTCACAGCATTCATTGTTTTTGTGGTTAATGATTCTCCTTTTTGTGGGGAAGCTTTGGTGGTAATGGTGGTGGAGGAAGTCTGTTGTTCTTCATTCTTCGAGGGGGCATTTGTATCGACCGAATTTGTTGCATTCGTTGTTGGGATGTTCTAGATTTACACATTTCGGTAGGGGGATTGAAATTCCATGCTCGTTTTAGGTTTATGAGTTTAATTGGTCATGTCCTTTTACCAGGTTGATGTCCTTGTACTATCTTCTTTGTGTTTAGCTTGATAATTAGCTATATATTGACTGATTTAGTGTCAAAGCAAACTATCAATTCACATATGAGACCTGCTTGTTGATGTCCTGGTATTGGTTTAATTGTGGACCTCATAGATGTAGGTCGATGTTGATCAAAATCCTTCTGAAAGCCATTGTAGTTCATCTTGTAGACCATCTTATTGTTTACAGAATTAGGGGTGAGTTGGTTGATTCTAAACTTGTCATGATA